GGGGGGGTGCAAGTCACACATGATTGCTCACTGTGGGCACAACACAGAGCAAACTGAGAAAGTCGGTATCTGGGAGGTTCCTGGGATTGCTGTAACACACACTGGGTAGCTTGAATGCCAGGGATTTATTATCTCCCGTGTTGTGGAGACCAGAAATCCAAGATGAAGGTGTCACAGGGCTGGTTCCTTCCGGGACTAGGAGAGGGTCTGTCCCATTTTCTCCTGGCTCCTGGTGACTTAATGGCAATTCTCGGTGTCCCTCAGCTTGTGGACACTCGCCTTCATTACTGACTCCTCCTGTGTGTGTGTCGATTCCCCTGTCCCTATCAGGACACAGGGCCCACCCTGCCCACTGTGACCTCATCTTAAGTTCTATCTGCTAAGTCCCTGTTTCCAAATAAGTTCATGTGAGGTTCCAGGTGGATGTCCATGGTGAGGACACTCAACCCAGTAGAGCAGGGGTCCTCAAACTTTTTAAACAGGGCCAGTTCACTGTCCCTCAGACCGTTGGAGGGCCGGACTATAGTTTAAAAAAAAAACTATGAACAAATTCCTATGCACACTGCACATACCTTATTTTGAAGTAAAAAAACAAAACGGGAACAAATACAGTATTTGTATTTGCATGTGGCCCACGGGCCGTAGTGTGAGGACCCCTGCAGTAGAGTATCCATTAATAAGTGGCTGTTTGAATAAGTTATGATTATTTTGCCACCGAAAAAACAAAGTTAGATGAGTGTTCTTTGTGCCACTCCATATGCAAGGGGAGAGAAAAAGATGGGAAACAGGGCAGCAAGTGTCCACATTTCTGTACGAGTAGGGACACAGGCCTGTGCTGCCCGTTCCTGGAAGAAATGGGGTGGCAGCCCAGGTGCAGGCGGTGGCTGGGGTGGAGGCACACTCACTGTGTGTTACACTGGAGCATTTTAACCACATTTTACAGACCATGTGCATTTTGCAGTTTAGAAATCTTAGTTTCAAAAGGGCGGGGTACCCCAGGCGACCTTGAAATGGCCCTTTGGGTGGCAAGTCCGGTCCGCCAGGTTTCTGAGACCGATGTTCCTGAACCTACCAGGCTCGTTCCACCTTTGACGAGACCCTGTGTTTCTAGTTTTGATGCTCCTGTCAAATCTGCTGGAGGGAGAACTAGCCGGGCTCTGCAGGCAGCGATGACAGTGTTCTGTCAGTGGCCCTGCTGAGGCCTCCTGGGCCGCCAGGCCAGGCTCACTCCCCGGGGATTTTCCAGGAGCAGCTCACTAGGTGAGCACGCCCATCTCTGTCCCTCGAGCAGTGGTGCTATGAGGATGCGTTCCAGAAGGAACAGCCATGTGAGGGTTATGCTTAAGCAAGTTTCCCTGCAGCTTCACATGAACAGCATTGGTGGTTTTCTGCCTTTTTTAAAAATTGATTTCAGAGAGGAAGGTGGCGGGGAGGGGGAGAAAGAAACATCAACTTGTTGTTCCACTTATTTATACATTCTTAGTTCTTGTGTGTGCCCTGATCAGGGATCAAACCCGAAATCTGGCATATGGGGACAGTGCTTTAACCAGCTGTGCTCCCTGGTCAGGGCTCTGCTTTTTACTTTTAATGGCACCTCATTAAGGTTTGATTTCTGCCCTCAGCATATTTCCACTAACCTCTGCACTGCAGCCCTTTGTTCCTTAAACCATCCTCCGCCGCCCCAGAGCAGTTGCACCTGTTACTTCCTTCACCGGGAGTGGTCTCCCTCCTCCTCCTCTCCTTCCCCCACCTACTTTCTCAGTTTGCTTGTGTTCTCAACCTAAACAGGCTCTGGCACCAGAGATGCCCTCTGGAATAGGCACAAATGAATCGCTACATAGTTTATCCTTTAAATGGAAGCTTGTCCTCACTCCCAGTCGTCCCTGATGACTGGGTGGGCACTCCCCCCACATGTTCTCTCTCGGCCACTCACTCAGCTGAGACCACGTCTTCCTGGTGTGCCTATGGACCAAGGGACTTCCTGGAGGCTGGACAAGGACTTAGGACCAGAGGAGTGGCCACAGCTTTTATATCCTCACTCCCTGGTGTCCCTTGGGGGAGAGGCAAGAAAAGGTGAAAGGTTAAGTGAGGGTTCTGGGGCGGATGTGGCAGAGAGGAGGGGGCCTCTCCTGCCAGCCTGGACGGGAGGTCCAGTGCTGAGGACACATGGCCAAGTGGAGCTGGAGGAAGGCCCTCTGTGGTGTGGACTGGGCCTTTGCACCCTCCATGTCACATGTGGCAGTGAGGGTAGAAGACCCATTCTAAAGATGGGCAAGCTGTGGCCCAGGGAGGGGCAGGGGACAGCCACGGGCTTAGCCTCTGCCCCCTACCTCTACCCTTAGTGATGACTACCTGTCCCTGGAGGGGCCCCGCTGGACACCAGCCATCAAGCAGGCAGTGCGTTGGAAGTATACACCCATGGGACGTGACTCCGCTGGCCAGACATGGTACACCGGCCTAACCAACTCGGACCCCCGTGAGGCCTGGTACACGCTCCCACGGGCCCTGGACAGCCCCTACCGGGAGGCTTATGCCCACTGGCATGGATGCCACAGCCACCGGAAGCACAGCATGCCCTCAGGTGCGTGCCTGGCCACCCACCTTGACCCTAGCCAGTCTCAAGGGCCAAAGATGACCTTCTCTCCCACTCTCCCTGCAGCCCAAACCCAGCGCCTCCAGGAGACTGCCTGGTATGACCCCATCATGCCCGCTCAGTACAGAGCCCCCAGCACGCGGTGGGGGACCATGCTATGGAAAGACAGACCCATCAGGGGCAAGGAATATGGTGAGGCTGGCATCACGGGGGCCAGGGGAGGGGGTAAAACCGCCTGGGTCCAGGAAACTGGAACCAGGAGTGACGTGGGTCCTGTCCCACAGTGGTCAACAGGCACCAATACGGGGTGGAGCCGCTGGGGCGGGTGTCGGACTACGTACCCTACCTGTCGGCAATGCAGCGTCCGCTCTACACAACCCAGAACTACCGGCAGTGGGACCTGGAACCCTATTGCCCATCCACTGGCCAGCGGTCCCCACCCATCTACATGCCCACTGTCTGATAAAGACCGTCCCCTGTGGGGGCCCTGCGCCTCTCCTCAGGTGTCTGTCTACATCTGGGGACTGGGGCGCCGGTCGGCCAGGTGAAGGGAGTTACTAGCCAAGACCCCAGTGACAGAGTAGGGACCCTACTGCCCTCCCCGTCCTGGGCCCAGAAGACAGCGGAGGTCAGTCCTTCCCGCGAGCAGCTCTTTATTCACTGCCAGCAGCGCCCTGGAGACCCCAGCTAGACCAGGGGTGAGGGGAGCTGAGTTCAGGGCAGTCCCATGCAACATAGCAAGGGCACCCCAAGTCTATGAGGACCCATGAGCTTCCGATACCAGAGGGCCTAGCTATGTGTCTCGCCCCGGTGGAGATGAGCCAGTGGGGTCCAGCCCCTCTTGTCCTTACCCACCATCCCTGCAGCCAGGCAAGGGGAAGGCGGGCACCTGAGGAGCAGGGCGTGAAATGTGCAGGTGCAGCTCATTTGCATAGGGCAGGAGGCCATATGGGAATCCAGGCTTGAGCTCCAGGGACTCCTGCAAGAGAGGGGGGTTTAGTGAGCACGGGGCCTGCCCCAGTCCTCCCACCCATGACCAGGTTGGGAATGGAGGGGAGTGTCTACAACTCACAACTCCGCAGGCGGATGGGCCAGATGAGGAGACTGCAGAGAGAGAGGGTGGCGGCCACACCTACGCCGCCCGTCACAGCCACCATCACCCAGTGGTAGAAGCCTACGCAGGCCCTGCAGCAGAGCTCCGAGCTGGGGAAGGGGGAGGACAGAGCAGGTGAGCAGACATTTGTGGGGACTCTCGAGCGTGAGCCTCACTCCACCCACCTCAGCTTCGGGCCAGAACCCGGGGGTCGCCCTTGACCACCTTTCCTCCTCCGACATGACCCTTCAGCCAGTACTACCAGCTGTGCCTTCAAAGTCTATCGCAGCTCTTTCCACTGCTCCCCTTCCTCTCCCTCCACCTGCACCAGCCCATCATCACCCACCTGGACCAGTGGCTGTTTCTGCCAAGGCTCCAGCCCTCACCTTCCACAGACTGTCCTTCTGAAGGCAGCCACAAGAGGGCGCCTGTAAGCACCTGAGTCAGGCCTCCCCTCTACCCCATCCTTCCAGGTCTCCCAAACTCCCTTGGGGTGAAAGCCCAAGCCCTCCACAAGGCTCTACATGACTTGCGCAAACCTCTCCCCACTCTCTCTCCCCTTCACTCACTCCGCTCCAGCTACATGGGCCTCCATTGTGTTGTTCCAACAAACCAGGCCTGGTCCTGCTCCAGGGCCTTTGCACTGGCTATTCCTTCCCATTTGCCTAGAACTCTGATACCCCCCAGGTCTCAAGACAATGTCACCTCCTCAAGGAAGTCCTCCCTGACCTGCACCGGTCAGGCCTCCGTATGTGGTGTCCCTCATCCCCCTGGCCACTGGTCTGGATCACATTTATTCCTGTGATTAACATGGCTTGTATTACCCCCAACTCCATGACGACAAAGGACCAGGCTAGTTCTGGTTCCCAGATCCTGGGCTTCTATAAGGCGAGAACTCAGTGGTCTAGAATCATCCAGGACTGAAATCCCAGGCTCCGAGGATCTGAGTGACACAGAGCCCGGCTTCCCTGTAGCACTGCCCACTCACATTCCCCCAATGCCCTAGACCTGGAGCAGTACCGGGCACACACTTAATGCGCCTTTGCTACATGAACTACAAATGAGTCACACTCACGAGCAGGGGTACAGGCTCTGGATGACCATGACTGCCAGCCCGTTGGCTACCTTATCCGAGAAGCTCATGGCGCCGTACACGAAGGCTCCACTGTGCTGGGAGGACACAGGCAGGGAGGTTAACACCCTTGGCCTGGGCCCGAGCCCTGGGCCCCAACCCCCACCCAGCCCTGCCCACCAGCCCTACCGTGTGGGGGCCGATGAGGTCAGCTGTCATGGCCAGCGACGTGACAAGGATGGTGGCACAGCCCATGCCCAGCAGCACAGCTGCTGCATAGACAGCTACACCCAGCCTATCTGCCAATGCCACCCAGGCCGCAAAGGCCAGGATCACCAGAAGGCCCACGAAGTAAGTCATCTGCAGGAGAGACCAGCATCAGACCCCCTCACTGTGCAGCTCCTACCCTGGCGCTTGCCCTCTCTGGTCTTCAATCCACCACCACCTAGTCCCTAACCCCAGAAGTGAGGGTGTCAAGCTGGACCATCCCTAAGGAGCCCCCAGCTCTGACCTCACCCAGGAGCTGACAGTCTAGGGACAGGTGGCTATTTACATCTTAAGTGCAAATCAATTAATATTAAATAAAATGGCCCAGCCAGCATGGCTCAATGGTTGAGCATTGACCTATGAACTAGGAGGTCACGGTATGATTCCTGATCAGGGCACATGCCTGGGTTATGGGCTCAATCCCCAGTGCAGTAGGTGAGGAGGCAGCCAGTCAATGACTCATCATTGATGTTTCTCTCTCTCCCTCTCTGAAATCAAAAATACATTTTAAAAATTTTTAATAAAACATTCAGTTCTTCCATCATGCCTGCCACATTTCAAGTACTCCATAGCCACCCTGACTAGCACATGGTCAGCACAGAAATTTCTAGAGCTCTGCAGCCCCAAGACCAGGGGTCCTCAAACTGCAGCCCGCCGAAAACATTTATACGGCCCGCCGGGTGTTTTTGCCACCGCTGCCTGTTGCTTAGTAGCCGACTAGTTTTTTTTTTAAAACTATAGTCCGGCCCTCCAACAGTCTGAGGGACAGTGAACTGGCCCCCCTGTTTAAAAGGTTTGAGGACCCCTGCCCAAGACACTCAGAAGCCAGGATTCTAGAACATGGATCTGCGACACGGCAGCTACAAGGTGTAGAAGCTGAGGTATGCAATTACCTGGGTTCTGTGCATCTGCGTTATGAGGGTCCTTGTCTATGCGTGCCCCCCTGCCCCCCACCAACCCACACACTCACATTCCTCCCGATCCACTTGTTGATCGGGTTCATGAGGAAGGAGGAGAAGAAACCGCTGAGATACATCACCAGTGGGATGGTGGCGATGAACTTCTGTTGGGGCAGAGTGGACATGGGCGTGTCAGGTGGGCCTCCTTGGGCTCAGGACCCACCCCACAGCCCTGGCCCGCCCTCCCCAGCTCACCTTGGGCAGGTTGAGGGAGTAGGTGAGGTACATGGCCATGTACGTCTGGGACAGGTTCACGATGAGCCTCGTGCTCATGTACAGGAAGCCCACCTATGGGCAAACAGAGGGGCTGGTTCAGGATCAGACAGGGCCCTTCTCCACTTCCACCAGCAGGGGACACTCAGGGCCTAGCTGCAGGGACACCTGACCCACTATTAGGGACCATAGCTGGTCAGGGGGAGAAGAGAGCAGTAATTGATTAGCAATGTCTGCCCTGCTGTGAAATGGAAAATCTGTTTGCTCATCTACTGGCCATCCTGCCTGCAGCCCCAGAGTAAGGGCCAGGTGGGAGACAGGCATCCACTCCAGCCAGCTCTGCCCCATCACATACCTGGTAAAAGGCCGGCTGCCGCAGCCAGTGTTTCCAGAGCAGCAAGGGCCGGGCCGTGGTGGGGGCCAACAGGGGGCTGTGCTCATCCGGCTCCTCCACCAGCTGCTTGCGCCCCTCCCTGGTGCCCAGGTGGAACAGCAGTGAGAAGATGGCACCGATGCCCACCACCAAGAGGGAGAGGTTCTGAGGATCCGCAGAAAAGGCATCAGCAGTGGCTCTCATGGCCCAGGCCCAAGTTCAGGGCCTGGGGGAGGTCCCATCCCGCCAGCAGCATCCTTGGCTCCCACCCCGGCCCCAGCTCACCCGAAATACTGGCACATCTTGGACCCCCAGCTGGTCACTGACATCCGGGGTGGGCCCCGTATTTGCAGAGGCCTGCAGGTGGAGCAGGAGCCAGGCAGCACCATAGACAGTGATATTGGCCACCACAGTGAAGGCGTACCTGGTGGGGACAGGCGAGGCCTCAGCACGGCAGCCCAGGAAACCACAGGGCCACTTCCTCTCCAGGCAGCCACACAGTGAGAGCTGCCTGTGGTGTCTGGGGAACCTCCGGGTGACAGATAATTTCAGCCACCAAACCTTGGGTGGCCCCAGGGAAGCCCCTGCTGGCCCCAGCTTACCCAGCCTCATGTCCGATGATTTACAACTCTGACCCTCAACCACCACAACAAGGGGCTGGGATGCAGAGACTCAGCAAAGTAGGGTCCAGTCAAGTCTGAGAAGCCAAGATGCTCAGAGGCCAGGATTCTGGAATTCTTGGTACCAAGATCCTGGGCTTGAGCAGGGCAAGGTCTAGGATCATCTGGGTCTGCCCCTGCCTGCAGCCCCGGCGTGATATCCCTTCAGGGGCTGGAAAGGTCAGGGGAGGAGCAACCTCTGAGTCTCACCAGGACTCAGTTTCTCTTTCTAAAAGTAAGAACAGCCCTCGCTGGTTTGGCTCAATGATAGAGCGTCGGCCTGTGGACTGAGGAGTCCCGGGTTCGATTCCAGCCAAGGGCACACGCCTGAGTTGCGGGCTCGATCCCTGTGGGGGGTGTGCAGGAGGCAGCCGATCAATGATACTCTCTCATCATTGATGTTTCTATCTCTCTCCCTTCCTCTCTGAAATCAATAAAAATGTCAATAAATAAATGTAAGAACAATACCCAGAGGTCACAGTGAAGATGACAGCGTTGGAAATAAAGCACTTGCAGGTAGAAGTGCACCAGAGCTTGGCCTGGCGTAGCCTGAACCCTAACATCTGGGGCCTTCAGGGGCCGGGGCATTGAGCAACCCGTGTCGTTAGTGCTTGCAGCCCTCAGCCATAATGGGGAACTCAAAGACGGGTGGGGAGCAGACCAAACTGGGACCAAACAGGCTGAGTTGGAAGCAGGCAGGACCCTCAACAAAGATGCTACAAAATAGCAAGAGTAACATGCACTCACCGGGGGCCAACTGTCAGCTGGGCTCTTTGAGCTCCAGCAACACTGGCGACCCTCACATGCCCTCTCCCTTCGGGCTGGAACTGCCACCTCCTTTTTCTTCATGTGCATGTCCCAGAGGCACTTTGGTCTGGCCTTGGGCACATGACAACCTGGGTGTGTGGTTAAGA